GGATTCTTTGATGAATAAAAAGTTAAAAAGAAGAGCATTTATTTAAAATAGAAATCTTTTCTAAAAATACACACTACAGTTCAAAAGTTTGTGGTCAGTACATTTATATTCTTTCTTTTTTTTTAAAGAAATTAAAGTCAAAGTCAGAGTCACTTTTATTGTCACATCACCACAGCACATGTGCCTTGGTGAGTGAAATTCTTGGGAGCGTGCTCCAGACAGTGCAGAAACAATTTACATATAAACATACAGACCTCAACAGATGACAATGTGCAATATGCACATACATATAGTCAGTACACACAGTGTACTATTAGACATACTTACAGTTAGCACTACACATTATACACAGTATGTACATGCAGTTAGCAATACACATTTATACACAGTATGTACACATTCTACATTATGTAGACATATATACACAAAATATGCGAAGGTGCAACAGATTATACATTAACTGGATACGCAAAATGTCATGGATGTGCATTGGATGGTATCCAGTGGTAGCAGATAGATTATTGTGTTTAAATGCAGTGTGTATGTATAGTCCAGTATTGAACTGTTGGAGTTAAAGTGCAGTGTGTGGCCTACCGTATTGTGGGAGTAGGCTGTAGGGTGTATTAGTTCTGATTGTTCATTAGTCTGATAGCCTGAGGGAAAAAGCTATCCCTCAGTTGGCTAGTGCGGGATCGGATGCTGCGGAGACGTCTTTCTGAGGGCAGCAGGGAGAGCAGTCTGTGGGACGGGTGGCTGGAATCACTGATGATCCTTCCTCCGGGCTTTCCTTGTACACTGCCTGGTGTAGATGTCTTGGAGAGGGAAACTCACCTCCAACAATGTGGCGGGCAGTTCGTACGACCCTTTGCAGAGCTTTGCGGTTGCCAGGGGTGCTGTTTCCAAACCAGGCAGTGATGCAGCCAGTCAGGATGCTCTCCACAGTGCAGGTGTAGAATGTTCTGAGGATGCTGGGGCTCATTCCAAACTTCCTCAGCCGTCTCAGGAAGAAGAGGCGTTGATGTGCCTTCTTCAGCACTGCATCAGTGTGTGTAGACCATGTGAGATCCTCATTGATGTGAACGCCGAGGAACTTAAAGCTGTTTACCCGCTCCACAGGTGTCTTGTCGATGGTGATGGGTGTGTGTTCTCTGCTCTGTCTCCTGAAATCCACCACCAGCTCCTTGGTCTTGTCGATGTTGAGTGAGAGATGGTTTTCCTGACACCATTTAGTCAGGGAGCTCACCTCCTCTCTGTAGGCCGTAGTTCTGATTGTTCATTAGTCTGATAGCTTGAGGGAAAAAGCTATCCCTCAGTCGGCTAGTGCGGGATCGGATGCTGCGGAGACGTCTTTCTGAGGGCAGCAGGGAGAGCAGTCTGTGGGACGGGTGGCTGGAATCACTGATGATCCTTCCTCCGGGCTTTCCTTGTACACTGCCTGGTGTAGATGTCTTGGAGAGGGAAACTCACCTCCAACAATGTGGCGGGCAGTTCGTACGACCCTTTGCAGAGCTTTGCGGTTGCCAGGGGTGCTGTTTCCAAACCAGGCAGTGATGCAGCCAGTCAGGATGCTCTCCACAGTGCAGGTGTAGAATGTTCTGAGGATGCTGGGGCTCATGCCAAACTTCCTCAGCCTTCTCAGGAAGAAAAGGCGTTGATGTGCCTTCTTCAGCACTGCATTAGTGTGTGTAGACCATGTGAGATCCTCACTGATGTGAACGCCGAGGAACTTAAAGCTGTTTACCCGCTCCACAGGTGTCTTGTCGATGGTGATGGGTGTGTGTTCTCTGCTCTGTCTCCTGAAATCCACCACCAGCTCCTTGGTCTTGTCGATGTTGAGTGAGAGATGGTTTTCCTGACACCATTTAGTCAGGGAGCTCACCTCCTCTCTGTAGGCCGTCTCATCGTTGTCAGTGATCAGGCCTATCACCGTTGTGTCGTCAGCGAATTTGACGATTACGTTGGAGCTGTGTGTGGCTGCACAGTCATGTGTGTACAGGGAGTACAGGAGTGGGCTGAGGATACAGCCCTGAGGAGCACCAGTGTTGAGGGTCAGCGGGGATGAAGTATTGTTGCCCATTCTCAAGTCAAGTCAAGTCAAGTCTGCTTTATTGTCAATTCTTCCACATGTACAGCACATACACACAGATAATTGAAATTGCGTTACTCTCAGACCCTTGGTGCATACAAATAACACTAACAGTAGAACATAAATACATATGACCACCTGACTTCTGCCTGTCAGGAAGTCCAGGATCCAGCTGCACAGAGATCTGTTTAGTCCCAGAGTCTGGAGCTTCGCAACAAGTGTGGCAGGCACTATGGTATTAAATGCTGAGCTGTAGTCCACAAACAGCATTCTCACATAGGTGTTCTTATTTTCCAGGTGGGAGAGAGCAGTGTGTAGAGTGAAAGCAATAGCATCGTCTGTGGAACGGTTGCTACGATATGCAAATTGTAGCGGATCCAGTGAAGTGACTCCAGTGAATCCAGTGAAATTAAGAGATGCAGCTTCATTGAGAGATTTTTTGTGAATCCAGTGAACAACATACAGTTCTTGAAATTTCTGGAATCACAAAATGAATCATCAAATATTGTATTAGCAATAGGGGACATTTGAGTCAAAAAAAAGTTCAGATCTACTACTTTTAAGTTTATCTGTAGGACAAAAAGCATTTTAGACCCCTCTACACATCAACACATGCTCTTTGAGCAGGTACTTATTTTGTAATGAATTACTTCAGGACCATGGAAAAAGTATGTTCTATACAGTATAAATGTGTGTAGTGTGAATTTAATCCGAATGTACTACATTCACCATGTTGTCATTGTCATGTGACCTACCAGTGTCAGTTGTGTCGATTCACAACTCCTCTCCCATGGCCTCCTGGGATAGCAAACTGTGCACGTTTTGTCAGAATTTGTCAGATGTAGTAGGTCATCCGGATACTTTTCTACTAAGAATACTGTGAATTCTGACAAACCACTCTTTTCACATTCTATTTTGCACCTGCTTTATAGTAGGGAAATATGCCGTTTTGAATACAGCCTCAGTCTCGGTAAGTGGGACCTCTGACCCCAATGATGCTGATTCAAGTGTATGATTTCATCATATGAGAATCTCATTGTAATTGTTTCTCATTCCTTCATCAGTAGACGTGTTGTTGTTAGCAGCTGGGTAGCATCTGGCCTCACTTATGTGTGCCATCTATTGCTCCTCCCTTGCATAG